AAAAGTTGTCTGGTCCAGGGAACTTATCAATTTTTAGGTTTCCTAACTTTTCTCTTACAATTTCAGAACTTAAAATGATATCGTTTACATCAATATTTTCTCCATACATTAAGTGCTCTGGTTGAGGCATAATACCTATATCTTCCTTCTTAAAAACTGAAGAGAACATATAATTTGATAAGTTTACCATCTCATAATCTTCTGAGATCAGCTCCCCACTATCATTTTTAAGAGGCCCAATCCCGATCCTGATATATTGCTTACCTATTGTATACCTAAAAAATTCATTATTGTTTGATTTAACCCTCTCACCCAACCCTCTTTCATATACAGTTTTTGCCCTTTTAACCTCCTTTTTAACCAGCTTTCTTGATTTCTTATAGTTTTCAAGTCCTTATTATTTCCAGTAAGTTTAATTTTCTTGAATTTATTATGTTTACTCCTAATATGATCTCTTAAACCTTTACTAAACCATACTGGCTTATTCTGCTCCATTGCCCTTTTAGTCCAATCTACAGAAGCCAGATCATGTCTCATTCCATCAAAATTGGCTTTCCTGAAATTTGGAATCAGGGTACTATTCTACATGTAGTAAAATTCCAAACCTAATAGTGCAATGATCGATTGTATTTAAATGCTCACCAACCACAACTCTGTCTATATTATTCACATCAGATGCTAATATTAAATCTAATATAGCTTTCTCTCTTGTAGGTTCCATCACCAGTTGGTATATAAAAGTATCTTGAACAATCTCCAAAACCTATCCCCCTCATTATTAGACTCGCAATTTTCCCATTCAATACCCTTGAAATTTAAATCTCCCATAATAACAACATCTTTTTGCAATACTGTTTTCAATACTCTATCTCTAGTAAATCATCTGTAGCCTAGTATTTCAGAAAATTTCTCTTATCAAAATTGTTGAAATCCAACCAACTCTCAGTGATACCCATAATATCAAAATCCTCAGTTTCCACAACTGCTTTCAACTCACCAGTTTTATTTCTAATACTCCTAGCATTACAATAGTAACAATTAATCATAGATTTTAAATCACATTCATTTTTTATGCCTGTTGTACATGTTTTCCTGTCAATTATGTTTCCTATTTTACTAATATAGCACTCACCTTGTCTAGCCCTAGTTTAAATCTACCACTATAGCTGAGTTAATAGCCCTTGCTAACATGCTAGCCCCTGCCTTGTTTAAGTGTAAGCCACCCATTCCAAAAAGATTAACTTCCCCATTAAAATTATCCCACAAGTCCAACTAGCCTATTTGCTCATCCCTACATATTTATCTAAGCCTGGTATTCAACCCTAGTGACCTACTTAGTATCTCATCTCTACAATTTATTCTTGGCAATATCCTTGACAAAATCAAGCTATGACCCCTTTCCCTAAATGCCCTTATCAGTCTTTTATACTTATCAATAATCTCCTCAGATCCAGCTTTCCTTACATCATTTGCCCCAACATGTACCACAAAAACTGCATTACTACTAGCACCCTTAACTATCTCTTTGGTTCTATCAGTTATATCCTGTACCCCTGTTCCTGGATTGCATAAACATCTTCTTTTGGTCCTATTTACTCCACATATTACTCTATCTACATGCCTAACTAGAGAGTAACCTACAACTATAACTTCCCTATCTTTTACACTATTATTCCTTTTGATCCCATCTATTTCCCTTGTCTGCTTCCCCTCATCAATAGCAAGTGCTTGGAACTGGTTGCTTAACCTGAACCTGAACCTAAGCCTATCCTAACCCCTAAATGCATTATTTTCCTAGATTTTAGCTCTATTTCCATTCTTAGCTTCCTTGAAATTTTCTTTGCCAGCTGAACCCTTTGTGTTCAGAAGTTTAAGTTCTTCACTTAGCCCCCACCACTACCACCACTTCAAGTAATTTACATTTCTCCCTTTCCACCACTGCAACTCTACCCAAAAACCCTCCAACTTCTCTAACCTTCACACCCTGCAAATAAACTGTACATCCTGACTACTAGCCTCCCTAAAAGTACACTTTAACCCAGATTTTATAAACAAAACTCTCTCCTGGCATCTATCACACTTTATAACTTTTTTACTCATCCCAAAGCATAGTTTTGTATTTGCTAATAAACTATAATTTCTTGATAATTTAATTATCCATGTCTTGTTTCTCACATAATTTTCCTGGTTGTATTACTAAAGCTCTTTTATGATGTATAGAATGTGATGTGAAAACTACTTATGAAGCACAGCTTTGAAAATAGATACAGACCAAGTTTAAATATCATTGCTAGAGTATATTGTAAACTATTCACATCAATGTAGAATGAATAAAGTGATTTGAAAAGTAGTTAATGGTTTCATGTGAGTGATTAGATTGGACTCCTGCACGGATGAACAATGGAATATAATAGGAAGTTTGGAAGACTTTTGAATAAATTACACATACATCAGAATTGTTCATAGTTTTTTAGAAGTTCTCTTTATTCCTGAAAATGTTTTTATTTTAAATTATATTTCTTTAAAAGCTGCTGGATTTTTCTTATATGATAAGAGATCAGGTAAGCTTAGGTTTAGAGAATACACTAGGTGAAAGCAAAACATTCTGATGACTCAAATCCTTACTTATTGAATTTTATTATTATGTCTATCATATTCAAACAATGTAAATAAATAATGATCTTGAAAATATACTATATTTATTTGACAAGTTGATCATGATGAGTAATATTGTAACCTAACTTGACAAAAACATTGATGATATCTTTTTCAATTTCTGCTGTGTTTTTTAGCTAGAAATGGTGACTACTACAATTGGAAAAATAATGTGTCAAAAGAATGTTACTGAATATCTATCAAGTTAAAACTGATTAGATATATAAAATGGTACTTTGGAATTTTAAGAGAAGTATTTTTAATGTTTTTTCAAAATAGTGTCCCAAAACAAAATGTTGGAAATTTCTGATCCTAAAAAATGATAAGTACTTAATCAAATTACATGAAAATATTAAAGCTAAATCTAGATATCACTAAGTTTCATGCAATTTGGTTAGTTTTTTCCTCTCTGTTTGAAGTAAAGAATTGAGGGATATCAATGACACCTTACTAGTCTAGAAAGAGTTACATTTTTTCACATACCTGAAAATGTAGAAATTCAGTTAAACTTGAGCATTTGGTAACAAAGTGAAATAATTCAGGATCACATGCCTAAGTTTTACACTATTATGGTCATATACCTTATTATTGACACTAGTATGGTCATATACCTGGTTGTTGACACCAGTTTGGTCATATACCTTGTTGTCAACACTAGTATTGTTTTCTGTAATATTAAAGTAGGTTCAGAGTAATATTTGTTTAAAAATTATAAAATGTAAGCCTTCATCATTGATTGGTTCATTTTAGGAAAGGTTAAAGTTAATGGTAAGGAAACTGTTGCTGATTTGTTATTTTTCCAACTTATCATATTGGCTTGAATATAAGGTGGTATTTTATTATTAATAATTAGGCTGTAAAATTCATAGTTGCCTTATAATCACAGCCGACCACAGGCCCCTTCCACCTGCTATTAACCTGTTGCATTTCTAGATGTCCAGATAGCATATGTTTGCTCAAGGTCATCGATAACTCTTGCAACTAATCCATGTGCAGACTGTTCAGTTATAATATTGATTTTGGAAACTTAAAAAAGGATGTTATGATACTCAATTGTTTTTTTTCCCATGGTTTCTGAAAATGGAGTTTGCCTTATATTTGAGATCGCTCTGTAATCGGGCCAATACGGTATTAGTTGTGACATATTGATAAGTTGAAATAAGTGACATTGGGAATGTATTGTGAATGAGTTGATTTAAATGACATGAATTTACTGTGACATATGAATGAATTGAATTAATTGACATTGAAGATGTATTGTGGAAATTTCAGGCCATGACTGAACAACTTTTTAAAGAAGTGTAATAAAAAGCTGAATGAACCTTCCAAGTATTTTTCATTTTACAATTACTTTCCAGTTTTGTTAAGTAGTAACAAAAGGCTGTATAGTTAATATAATTGAAATATGCAGATTGATTCTTTTAGCAATTTTTTTCTAGGACTCTGGCACAATATCTTTCTTCTCGGACGACAAGGCTAGAAGAAAAAGAAATTGTTCATCTTTTTCATCAGATAGTTTCAGCAATACATCACATGCATGAACATAACATTCTTCACAGGTGTGGAAACATGTTTCAGTATTTGAATTGAAAAAAAATGTGAATTAAAATATTGTATCAGTTTTTAAAGCTTACAGGCTGGAGATTTGCTGGAGTGTGTGTTCAAGATAACATAGTAACTTTAGTTTGCATCAGACAACATTGATAATATTGCCACGTGAAAAACCATGCAGAGTAGGACAGTAAGTACAGTTACATCTTCAAAGCAGTTTCAGTTGATGTACCTTAATAGCTTGTAGAAATCTTGTCTTTTCTGGAGTGATAATTGGTGGAAAAGAAAAATATGTGCTTTAGGGATTAGAGAGTACAACTATAGACAAATAGCAAGTTATCTAAATAGATTTTTAAGCCTTAACATTGACATCTTTGTTTTATTCAGATAGTGGTGATATCAAAGTAATTAAAATAGTGAAAAAAAGTATAGGAAATGTAATTTACTTGCAAAATCCTCTAGTCTCTACTCTATCATTTGGTGATTCTTGAGCAATGTGGCTTGTGCATTGCTATTGAATTACAACAAGTTGTTTATTTAGGAGGAAAACAAATCTTATTCACTTGTGAAAATGTGGAGGACACATTTTGTGATATTTCTTCATGATTTGATGGAACTTGTAACCTTGTCTCCAAATCACTACAGGTGATTAAGCTTGATATATTATCCAAAATGAACCATTAGTCATCTCTAAACTTTCTTGAAAAGAAATGTTTTATCTATTTATTTTGAAGCTTGAAATGAATGCTTTTTTTATTTTCTTAAAAATGCCACAGTATTTTATTTCTAACTCAAAGTAAGATAACATTCTTGAAGTTTTTGAAAATCAGTTGTTTGTACTAAAATATTTATTCCTTTGTGATATTTTGAAACATTAGTTTTCAAATAAAATATAGATTCTGATACGATACCTTCCCTCCTCTCACAAGATTATCTTTTTCCATTTTGTGTTGCCTTTATATGCGAACATTTTCAAAACACATGCTACATGTTGGAACTTTGGATTCCAACAGAGGGATGTGGAAGGCTTGTGGCATGCGTTCTGAAAACAGCACAAAACAGGAAAAGCTAATCTTGTGAGCAGAAGGAAGTACCTGTTAGAAATACATTTTTGTATAGGAAAATTATAACTTCTGATATACATGACAAACAGTAGTATTAATCAAACCATAGTAAAATATAGATTCTTATGAAATATACATAACAAACTAGTTTTAAGCAAGTTTCATATCCTATGAGGATATTACTGTTTAAGAGTTGATGTGTAGTATAGAAGAAATTTATTATTTTGAGTGGTCATTTATAAACTTAAGTAATTTCAAGTCATCCAATTTTATTTTTACTGTGAAAAGTTTCATCTTTCTTTTCCCACAGAGATCTCAAAACATCAAATATATTTTTGACAAAAGATGGGCTTGTGAAAGTTGGAGATTTTGGAATATCAAAAATGTTGACAACAAGACAAGGAAAAGCTCACACATTACTTGGGACACCATACTATATCAGTCCTGAGATGGCAAGTATTTTTATTTAATTAACTAAATATGTTTGTTATTTTGCTAAAAAAGTTGGCATAGTGATTATTCTACAGCTTGTACCTCTTTCTTTGTTTTTCTTCAATTGAGCTCCTCACACTAAAGATGACAGTAAACTTCTATTAACTCTGTTAATTTATCTTGAAAGTATGTTGAGAATGGTTTAAAAGTAACATCAACACAAAACCAGTCATCAGTCTTGCAGAAAATATCCTAATATAAGCAGAAACCAATAGCTGTTGGGTAGGGAAATATGCTATTCATTTAAGTGCAGATTGTTGATGGAAATTTTATACACTAATAACCAAGTGTTTTCCAAAGGTAGATCTTCCTTATCCAGGATCTACTTTCTGAAAGTGCTCAAGTTCTGAGGTGTTTGTTTTTTGTGATCATCTAATGTTTGATTTTTTGGTTTTATGAAGTGTAAAATGCCAATTTTTCACTGTCAGATGGTGTTTGTTAAAAATAATTCAACCTTTCTGTAATACATGACTGATATTTATAATTTGTGTCATTACAGATAATATTTAGTGCTTGCTCTTTTAGAGAGTCTAGTGTCATATTTTTATTTTATTTTTAAATGTGTATATTTGTACTTGAAATAATAATTAAGTTGTTATGCAGTGTCAAGGAAAGCCTTACAATGAGAAGTCTGATATCTGGGCTTTGGGCTGCATCCTTCATGAGATGGCTTGTCTCCAGAAAACGTTTGAAGGTTCCACCTTACCAGCTTTAGTGAGCAAAATAGTGAAGGTGGGCATTTACTTTAACTGTTTTAGTCTTTTTTGTGAGGAGATGAATAACTAAATGGAGCCTTGTCACAGATATTTAGCAAAACTTGGCTGTTGAGTTTGTATTACTTCTTTTCTTTCAGCTTGGTGAAATAGAATTATTATGGATTTAAGTTCTTTTATTTAGTGAACTTCTGCCATCATGCATATCTGGGAGATAATTATCCACATGCTTGTTGTTGTGATTCTTTCCAATTATTTATGAAACATAACCCAAGTTCTGCATGAAAGTTCTAATAGTAGCCTAAAATCAGCAGCATGGGTCTTGTGCTTCTTAGATTTTACATTTATTCATAGTATTTCCCATTGAAATTGTAGTAAGTCTGGCATATATAGTATTAATGCTAGCAGTAATCTTATAGGAATTTAACAAGGAATGTAAACTTGGAAACTAAACAGTAAATATTTTTAAATACTTTTCAACCTCATGCAGGAAGTTTTATTTTTCACTAATTGAGGTTGGTTAGTATCAATAAAGCAAACAAAGAAATACTAGACCTTTAGTACTACATATCATATTTTTGTATATTTTCTTCAGTGTAACTTGCTAATATGAGTCTTTAAAAAACAACAACCTGAACTTAAAAATTATAGTTGATTATATTACAGTTTTGAAATTAGGTGTCATATTTGTTATTTCTTATATTTTTTTATGAAAAAGTTCCTGTAGTTTTTAGCTAAATGTTTTCATTTATTAGTTTATTATTTTTTTAATTTTAGCAGAATGGTTTATTTTGTTTCTTTTTTTTTATTTTGGCAGAATTTTATTTATATTAACTTATTTCTTTTTGCAGAAGTTTTTCTTTTTTAGTATTTTCTTTTTAACAGAACATTTTCGTTTCTTTATTATTGTATTATTTATTTTGGTACACATTTTTATGCTTTTTAATAGTTTTTTTTAATTTATACTATATTCGATAAGCTATTTTATGATAAATTATGTCTTTAAGAAAAAAAAAAATTCAATAATATTTTATATTAATTTGGCTATTCTCAACCAACAGTTGGCTTTATGGATGTTTATTTAACATATTCTAAATGTTTCTACTCTCTGGGTATTTGATTAATATTTGAGATAGATTTCTACCTCCTTAATTATAATTTCAAGGTAATTAATGAATAGAATAAAATTTTATGACTATTGCCTCTGTTTACATTATTCAAACTTGAAACATTTAATAAGTAAATTTCAAATAACATTTCTTTAGTGACAAAAACGTTTAGCAACAGTTATTTTTTCACTCTTATTCATGTTGTATTTAATGTTTCTAATCATAACATATTTTATAATCAAACCTGATTTACTCAGTACTTTTTAACAGTTAGAGATGTAGTATTGATATCAAATTTCAACCAGTTACTTTTTCTTCTGTTAATAATTATTGGTAATATTTATAAAATGGAAATTGAAGAATGTTATTAATTAGTTTATCAAAACAACGTAAGCTATAGCTAAAGTCCCATATCCTATAATTGTGTGAAAAGATCTACTTAAGATAATATACCAGTTTTTTAAAGTTGCATATAATTTAAGATTTTTTTATCTTCTGCAGGGTCAGTTTGCTCCTATTCGTGGAGACTATTCAAATTACTTCAAACAAATTGTTAAGGACTTGTTACAGAAAGATCCAGAGTATCGACCTACAGCCAAGGTGGTTTTACATTACAGATTACCTGAGGTAAAAAAATATATATAAAGTAACATGACTCATTAATGTAAGAAACGGACTTCAGTATTCCTACTTATGTAGTTTTATATGAAAGGTTAACTGAGGTAAGGAAATATAAACAAAGTAACATGACTCATTAATGTAAGAAACGGACTTCAGTATTCTTACTTATGTAGTTTTATATGAAAGGTTAACCGAGGTAAGGAAATATATATATAAACTAAAATGATTCATTAATCTTAGGAATGGAATTCACTATTCTTACTTTGTTCCATTGCAACAACTAAAGTCCTCTAGTATGGGAAATATGTGAGTTAAGGCTAATGTCTGACTAAATGCTGCTAACATCTTAATCTTAAAACAGATTTTATACTTTTTCTAAGCTATAGTCTGATCTATTATAACAAACTACCTAACTTTAGTTCCAGGGGTTTATGCTGAATATCTCATGTCACATACAATGAACAAGGCTTATGGTGATTATCTAGTGGTTTTCCCATTAGAATCGAATGATAAGCTCAGCTTTCCACATTTGTCTTTTGTATATTTAGCTAATAATCATTTCAGTAATTGGTATTTTAAATTATTTCGGCCTCCCCTTCAACCCAAAACTCTCATACTTACTCTGTTATTATAGTGTTTGCTTTATGCCCTAAGGGGGTTAATTTAGTGCACATTATTGACTCTGACAACTAATTCTTGTGTGTTCCTTTAAAAGTTCCTTCTCACTTGTCATAAACATAAATGTTTATCACTCTCTTTTCAAACTATTTGTGATAATGATGGAAATCGTCACTTGTATGTGACAGAATCTGCAGACTTACAATGCTATAAATCAGGTTTTGATACCCGTGGTGGGCACAGCACAGACAGCCCATTGAGTAGCTTTGTGCTTAACTTCAAGCAAATAGTATTACTGTCTTTCGTAATAAAAGTATAATGTAAACAGATGGGTGCTGTCTCTGAACTAGTAAACAGATGGGTACTGTCTCTGAAAGTGTAAACATGTGGGCACTGTATCTGAAAGCAGATGGATGCTGTCTCTGAAAATGTAAACAGATGGGTGCTGTGTCTGAAAGTGTAAACAGATGGGTGCTGTCTCTGAAAGTGTAAACAGATGGATGCTGTCTCTGAAAGTGTAAACAGATGGATGCTGTCTCTGAAAGTGTAAGCAGATGGGTACTGTCTCTGA